TATCTATTGTGAATATTTATACCACTTCTGATTCATATGGATGCTATTTCAGCTTTATTAAGTAGGGAATTTATTCATTAAGTTAATGCTTAGCTCACCATCATGTGTTTTATGAATCTAGTGGGAGAGTTGGGAAGTGAGCAGTTGTCATCTCCAGAAACTCTACAGATGAAACAACTTTGGGTGGAAGAGGAATCAAAGAGGCGTGCAGGTGCCCCCCCCCCCCATCCACTCCTGCCTGGGGGTCTCCAGAGGGCATGGGGTCACCAGGTTCTTGGCTTCCCTCCTGCAGGTTGCCCAGCACGTGGCCCAGATGCTGGCCGAGACTCCCCAGGTCCTGGGGCAGCTTCTGGAGAGGCTGGAGCGCCCAACCTGCTCCCTGAATGGGCTCAAGGTGACAGTCAACTCAGGTCCCTCTGTCCCCTCAGGCATTGGTGCCCCATGAAGGGGGGCGTGGGGCACCCACCTGTGATGCTCCAGCTGATAGAGCCCAGCCCTGGTGCTGGGAGCTGTTGTTCCCACATGCTGGGAGCAGTCCTTGCCAGGCTGTGCTGGCACCATCCTCTCCCAGGGAGGTCCCCCTGGCTCTGCCCCCCTGTCTCCTCCAAGGCACCCCTTTCCATGCCAGGCTGCTAGTTTGGTAGAACCCCTGCCCTACACTACCCTTGGTTGGAGGGCAACAGGACAGGTCCTATGAGGAGAGGCTGAGGGACCGGAGGCTGAGGGGGGATTTGGTGGTTGCCTACAAACTCGTTAGGGGAGATCAGCAGCAAATAGGAAGGGCCCTATTCCCCACAGCACCACCTGGGGTGACGACAAAAAATGGTCAGAAGCTGCTGGAGAATAGATTCAGGTTAGAGATTAGGAGGCACTATTTCACTGTTGGCTAGGGTGGCTAGGATCTGGAACCAACTTCCTAGGGAAGTGGTCCTCGCTCCTACCTTGGGTAAATTCAAAAGGAGGTTCGACAAACACCTGTCTGGGCTATTGTGATCCCAGTGTGTGCTCCGGCCAGTGGCGGGGGTTTAGACTAGATGATCTGTTCAGGTCCCTTCTGACTGCAAACTGCTGTGAAACTACTATGAAACTACCCTGCCCTCAGCTGGTCAATGGAAAGTCAGTTCCCATTGACAAGTCCCTGCTGCCCACCCTGTGCCAGCCAGGGGGGACTGGGGCATCCTGTGGCTCCCATGTGAGCAGGTTGCAGGGCAGTGCTTTTTCAGGGGTCCCTTAGCCTGCTGCTGGGGCCTGCCAAGGAGCTGGGGATGGGTCCAGACAGTGTTCCTGGGGGCCCCACATAAGAATATCTGAGCTGCCCTGTGCTGCTTCAGACCCCAGGTCCATCCTGCCCTGTCTCCTGTATCCCAGGAGCAGAGAGCGGAGCTAGAAGGTGAGTGCTTGGGTCTGAGCAGGGTTTTCCTGTTCCTCTCTCCCTGGTCTAGGGCCACAAGTTCCTCCTTGAATGCCCCATGTGGGGGACAGGACGGCTTGGGTTTGGTTGGCGGCTGCTGGCCTGCTTGTCCCGTGCCATGACCCCCACTCTGTTTGGGCAGACAGGCAGGAATAAATCCCCAGGGACTTTCTCTTCCTCATCCAATGTGTTGCAAACCTTGCTCCCGTCCCCTCCAGCATCTCTCCCAGGTCTGGCCTCAGTATTTTCTCCTAGGGAAGCCCCTCTGCAGCCCCCAGCCTCCTTGCTGCCCTGCTCTGCAGCTTCTCTAGCTCCTCTCCTTCTGGGGCTGTGGGGACCAGACCTGGGCACTGGATTCAAGATGTGGACACTGTGGGGGCTTATAAAGGGCAGCATGGTCCTCTCTGTCTTAAGTTCCCTCCTTCCTAACATGTTCTTTGTCTTTTTGACCCCCCACCCTGCTGCGGGGCCCGGGTCAAGGCTAGTGTCCTTCCCCCCAGATCCTATATGCTGCCTGCCACGTCAGCCAGAGCCTGTGCCGCCTCTTGGAGATGGAGCCACGAGTGCCAGGGGCCTTGGCACAACTGCTGAAGGGAGAGGTAGGTCCCAGCACCCCCTGGGGCAGGTGGGCTCTGCAGGGGAAGGGGAATGGGGGACCCACAGCTGGATTGGGGGGTGATGGAGACACTGCGTGGAGCTCAGGGAAGGAGCAGAGAGATGGCCTGGGCTCATACTGGCCAGGGTTGGGAGGGTGCCAAGGGGACAGGTTGCCCAGGGCCTGTCCCCTTTCAGTGCCCCACACCATGCACTGTTCCCCTGGTAGGTCCCAATGCCAGAGCTAGTGCGGGGACAGGCTCAGGAGGCCACCCTGCACCTCCTGTCTCTGCTCACCCTGCAGCTCCAGGCACCCCCACCCGGGTAAGTGCTCCCTTACCCACACCCTGCACCCTGGTATGTACCCCTCTGCCCCAGGGGGCTCAGGTCAGCCTGCTCGTGCTGTGCTGTTGAGAGCAACATGCCCTTGAGGGGTCGGGGGGGCGTTACTGTGTGTTGCGGTTGCTCTTCAGAGGTGGCCGCATTCTGGGGTTGGGGAAGGCGATGGCTGGGACTTCTCAGCCTCTCTTCACCCCTCCTTCCAGGCTTGATGTGGTGGCACTTGAGGCTGGCGAGCTCTTCACCCATTCGGCTGTTGTCTCCCTCGTGGTGAGTGCGTTGTCCCCTCCTGCCCCCATCCCTGCATCTCTTGCCCCCTCCCACCCTGACTCCAGTGCTGGTGGGGTCTGGCTTGGCTTGATACAGCCCAGTCTGGGAGTGGGGGTCGGTCTGATTGTTCCTGCTCTGGGGGGGGAGGTGCTTGACATTGATGGGCGGGCAGCCATGTGGGGCTGCAGGGCAGCCGCGGCTGCCTCTTGGGGCAGCCAGTCCTGAACCCTCCATTCGGCCCCAGAGCGCCGCAGGTTTCTTGCTGACTCAGCTCTGCCAGCACGGGGTGGCTGTCGATCTTGGCAGGGAGGAAGCCACGGCGGCTCTAACCAACGCTCTCACTGCCCGTGCCCAGGTACTGGTCACGGGCGCTTCTCTCCCTTCATTTAACTCTGGGGTGTCCAACTCCCTTGGGCCGGGGCCACACCCAGCCCAGGGCATGGGGCATCCACAGTGTCCAGTGGGGCGGTCTGGGGGTGGTCACGAAGGTCCCAAATTCTACATTAGGCCATGACCGCTCTAAGACCCTGTCGGTGCCCAGTGGGGGGTTGGGTGTTGTTGGTCCCATCAGGCTGCCTCGAGGTGACAAAGCACAGAACTGTCTATAGACAAGCCTGGACAGAGCAGCCACCCACCCACCAGCTGGTCTGTGGCAGCAGCCGGGGCTTTTCTAGGCATGGTGTGGGCAGGAACAGCTCAGTACAAAGTATTTGGGGTTCCCAGGTCCCTGTTTGTGCCCTGATCACAACTGATCCTGGTTCTTACCAGTCACTAGAACAGCTTCAGGCAACAATCCTAGAGAATGGGGCTGGCAGGGAGCTGCGGGGTCACATCCAGCCCGAGGCAGGATCAGCCCCATCCAGACCTGCCCATCCAAACCCCATGTGCAACCATAGAGGTGTACGACACAGTCATCCCTGACACAGCCCCGGCATCGCCCCCGCACCTGCCCCCAGGAAGGTAGAGGGGCTGTGGAGGTTGTATAGGTCCAGCTCCCACCCTCTCCCTTCTCTTACAGCTGTGTCTCCCGCCGCCGCT